GGGTAATATTTTAATGTATAAAAATACCACAGCCTTTTTATCCAATGGTCTATTGATGGACACTTGGGTTGCTTCCTTACCTTGGCTATTGTAAATAATGGGGTGCATATATTCTTTTCAATTAGTGTTTTAGGTTTCTTCAGATATATACCCAGAAGTGGAATCCCTGGTCATAAGGCAGTTCTATTTTTATTTTTTGAGGAACCTCCATACTGAAACAGTTTTATTATTGGACCCAACAGGTTTTGGTTCTTTTATATTTATATTAGCTTTTATATATAAAAATATTTTATATTTATACTTCATATCTTCTTTTAGCTGATGTCTCTTTACATTTTATTGTGAGAAGCAAGAAGATACCAGGCAGCACTCTGTGTGGAAATATCCTTAGCTAGAACATTTATTTATTGAATATGTTTCCTATTTTTCCTGTTAACCACAGGTGACAGTGTTGCTAAACTTTTTGCCACTCCATAACAAGGGTCCCCTTCCCTATAGTTTCTAGTAGCATTTTCCTCACTTTCCTTTAAGCTCACACTGACAGCCTCCTTGAAGACCAACACATTTTGGCTAATAACTCTGATAGCTGAGGCAGATCCTGAAGGCACTTGCAACAGGAGGTTGTCAACCAACTGTGTTCCTGGCTGCTGATTCTCTCCTGAAGGGGAATTTGGGCAATATATCTTCATGGCTACCACATATGAAATTCATGCCAAGCCATGTTCTAACCTCTACCAATCTTTCCAGTCTTATCTCCTGACACTGTCTGCATCTCACTCAATGCTTTTGCTGCACAGAAGTTGTACTACCTCAATATGTCTGCAGATCACACACAATCATGACATAGTGCAGGCTGAGTTAGGTGCCTCTCAGCATCCTATAATACTTTCCCTATACAGTAGGTCCTCGGGTTATATTGGAGATCTGTTCCTATGGCATGACGTAATGCAATTTTTGCCATAAGTCGGAACCCACCTACGTAAGCACCTACGTCACTCACATGGAGCACATACACAGCAGTAATGAAGTGAAACAGTAAAAAAAAATTTAAAAGAAAGATAACAATTCCTGACCTTTACTTGTGTTAAATAAATAAAAAACATAAAGCACATATGTACATATATCGAAATGACGAAACTTTTTTTTTTTGAATCTTTAAGAATCACTTTAATATTATTGGAGGCGATTAATACTTCTGTTACAGACGTACTAGTCTGCAAATTAATTCAAGTCAGTAGTTATTAGACAATAAAATAACTGTACCAAAGGATACTTCTAAATAACTTAAAAGAAGTTATGACCTTAAAGTTTTTAAAAATTATTTTCCATACAAGTTACATGATAAAATAATTTAAACATATGATTGATTCCGCAAGTTTTTAAAAAAAATTTCTTTGAAAGTTATGAGGAAATATTTTTCTTTGTCCTGTGCCTTCTTTCTCTTTCCCATCCTATTTCTGTTCTTCTCATATATAATATTATGAATGAAACCTCAAGAATTCAAGGTGAAAGATGTAATTTTGCTTCATAGAAACCATGACCTACACTGTATAGTAAAACAAGATAAGACTTGGGTAGAACCAAACATTTTTCAAAAAAATACAGGCTGAGAAGAACAACCACCCACAAATTAGGATTTATAATAAGATTATCTTTGGAAAGTAGATATTTTCTCTCTACTAGAAATAGCAAAACATTCCATATTCTTTTCTTTCCCAATTGCATGGTTAATTAGCATACATTCCACCACTGTGCATGAAAAAATTTCTAAGCCAGAGGTATTTAAATGATTTCTTCATAAGTGTTTTGGCTAATTCAATGGCCAAGAAAACATGATGTTTAGTCTCTAATTAGATAGTTGAGAAAGAAAACATTTAATTTCTGAGGCTTAAGCCAATATGACCCAGCAAACATCTGTCATTACGTTAGCTATTAAGTCTTCCTTCTCCGCAAAGTAATACAAAAAAGCACTGCTTAAGTGTACATTAAGTCCAGTAAACTTCCAACAGCTCAGCTCCAGATGACCTAGGGATGGAGTGAGTCATCTGTCAAGCCTGGAGTGGTCCAAACAACAGGGATAACTTCATCAGTAACAGCTGGAAATAGATGCCGGCCCCCAAGTCAGGCAGAATACCCAGTCTTCAGTGTCAAGGAAGGAAACCAAGTCCAAGCTTCTAAAACACGTAGCGGCAAGTCCAGGAACGTGGCCGGATGTAATCCAGAAATGTGGGGTTTTTCAGAGGACAGTGCTGACGTGCATACCACTCTTGAGAATAAAAGCACAGGAGGACTCCCTGGCTCGCAAAAAGTGAAGTCCACATCATGACGTTCCAAATCGGCCTTTTCCGGCTGTCATTGACAATGAAGTTGAAAGCCATTCCAAAGAACATGAAAAGCACGAAGAGCACTGGGTAGAAAAAGCTCAAGCAAACAGCTAAGGCGTATTCGTGCACGACAGCAGACACAGCAAAGACGGCTAACATGGCCAGACAACAGGGGGATAAGGGCATGAGTGGGGGTGGGGGAGGGGCAATGGAGGGATAAGGACACATATGTAATACCTTAATCAATAAAGAAATTAAAAAAAAGATAGGTATAGATATGCAGATGAATTTATAAGTGAAAAGCAGGTAAATCAAAGGTGCAATAGCTTTCTATTTTCCTTGCAACTTTATAAGTGGCCAAATTAACCAGTCCCCATGTTACCTGGCAAGATGGAGTTAAATACACATAGGACCAGAACACGAGCACTGAAGGGCTCCTGCTTGATATTCCGAAACAAGGGGGCATAGAGCCTTTCAAAGACGTAGTACATATAAAATAAGCAGCCAAACACCTGTGCAAACTGCATAGCCACATAACCCCACCTTACAGTGGGAGTCCTGAGATAGTTGTCCCGGTAGATGAGGGTTGGAGTAAACAAGAAATACAAGTACTGGTTGACTGTGGGTACTGGGACAGTTCTTGATTTATCCTTAGCTGAAGTCAATACCCGAGGCACATTCTCTCTGACAAATGAATGGACCTTCATTATCATATGAATCTGTTCAAAGATAACAATGCACCGGGAAGCTGGTGGCAGTGTATATGCTAATACAGCATATGTTGGTCCACAACCTAGAATTCCAATCTGTAAGACCATGAGATTTAGGAAAATTACCTAGAAACTACCAATTATAGTCTATTTAAATAGACCATTTAGAAAAATAAAAGTAATGAAATTTCTAATCTTCTTCTTAGTTGTATTGTACTTTTTAAGAGACAGAAATCTCAACCTCGAATCAGCTACTTTGGAATTTTCTGAAGCAAATTTAACCAAATCACCCTCTACCAAAATTTACATACAATGAAAACTCCCAACATCCTATGCGCCAATTAGCCAACCATCCTTTTTCTTGTCTTACCTTCCTTCGTCAATGTAATCTACCACAAGTGTGCTGAGGATAAAGAGAATGAGGAGGGCAATAAACATGTGATATATTGTTCTGATGTGGTCCACCTCGAACAGCTCATCTAAGAGAGATCGCCTTATAACAAAAATCTTTCCATGTTCTGGAGGTGCTCTCAGATCTTTAGCTCTATGGTTGTTCACTCCTCCAAGAACAGAAAAGGATGTGAGTGCACACCCACCACTATCTAATGATACTGACTTTTCAATGAGATTGGTCACAAAATCATCCAAGTGAGTGCCAACTTCCTTCATAAAATATGGCTTCAATTCCTCTGCCTCTGCTGTCAACTGTTTCTTCTTTGCAATTAACTCTTTTATGTCAACCCGGCCATTACTAGGTGTCTCTGGGGCCTGCTTTGCAGGGTTCCCCTGGTCTTCCTTTTCTTCAGGATCGTCACTGGACTTTGACAGCCGTTTTCTTAGAGACATCTCTTCGCCCACCATTGTGTTATCTGGGGCCGGAGCCTGGCAGCGGGGACCTCGGCAAGGAAGGCAGAACTGGGGGCCGTCGGAGCGCGGCCGGCAGGAAGGTCAGCTGCGGGCAGCTCTCCGGGTGTCCAAGGCCGGCAACGCCGCCAGCCCGGCTGCAGATGAAGATAAAGCGCTGGACTCCCGGCTCCTCCGCCGAAACTTTTTTTTTTTTTATAAATAAATGGGAGATGGAAATGTAACCACGAAATGATGTAACCCAAGGACTGTCTGTATAATAAAAGGGTAATATGCAAATTGACCCTAACGGCAGAATGACTGGGAATGACTGGTCACTATGACATGCACTGACCACGAGCAGATGCTCCTCAATGCAGGAACTGCCCCCTGGTGGTCAGTGCGCTCCCACGGGGGGAGCTCCACTCAGCCACAAGCCGGGCTGACAGCTGCAAGCGCAACAGTGGTGGCGGGAGCCTCTCCTGCCTTTTCTGCAGAGGTAAGGATGTCTGACTGCCACGGGGAGTGAGCCTAAGCTGGCAGGTGGACATCCCCTGAGGGGTCCCAAGCTGCGAGAGGGCACAGGCCGGGCTGAGGGACCTCCCCCCCACCCCCAGAGTGCATGAATTTTCATGCATTGGGCCTCTAGTAATAATATAAGTACTTTCATAGCACCCTAGAAATATCTCTATCACTTTATGACATTCTGTGTTACTAGGATTCAAATCTTGCCTCTGACACTAATTAGCTATGTGACCTTGGTCAAATTATTTGGTTTCTCTGTGTCTTAGCTTCTTCATCTTTACAGGGGGAATAACAATACTCTCCTCTATATAGGGTTGTTGGGATTAAATGAGAAAATACTAGTAAGTGCTTAGAACAAAGTACAGAGTAAGTGTTCAATGACTGTTAACTATGACCCTTAATGATATGAACTGAGAGGATTTGTTCATTCACGTGACTGGATCCAGGGAAAAACTGATAGAAAGGTGACTCCATTTCATCCCTGAGTGTACTTCTGTTTTTAGGGAGACAGCGCAGACACCTGCTTCTCCAAGAGGCTGTGATGTAAACTAAAGCCATCACAATAACCTTTATCAGCCTTTTCCTCCTTCTGTTTTAGGTCTGCAGGACAACCCGTGGTTCTGTGACTGTCACATTTCCAAAATGATCGAGATATCCAAAGTTGCTGATCCTGCCATAGTACTTCTTGATCCACTGATGGTCTGCAGTGAGCCCGAGCGCCTGACAGGGATTTTATTTCAGCGGGCTGAGCTGGATCAGTGTCTGAAGCCATCGGTGATGATCTCGGCCACCCGAATCATGTCTGCTCTGGGCAGTAATGTCCTGCTACGGTGTGATGCCACTGGCTACCCCACCCCACAACTCACATGGGCCAAATCTGACCACTCACCTATTAATTACACAGGTATTTTTTTAAATTCGGGCCTATGTTGAAACAAAGTTTTCAAAGATCTGTATTTAATCTCAGGTTTGGGGAATAGTTGCAATTTGCTCATTAATTCTAATAAAATATGCCAAGAGTGTTAGTTAAAAGGGATTTGAAAGTTCATTTTCTTTGTTAATATTTTCCTCAGTTGGTATCTGACTAACTACATGAATGAAATTAGAAAATCTGATTTTTTTTCTTAGAAAACATGATCCAGTGCATGAATGACTACAGAGAAGGCCTTTGTCTTGCTATGTCATCTTGGATATGACTCACTTTAAAATATATAATGATTACAATTTCCTCAGAAAGGATTTTAATATCAGTTTCTCATTTTAAATGATGATTTAAATAATTACATGCAAACATTATTGTGAATCAAAAAGTATAATTTTTGGAAATATTGTTTTCATAGACTTTTCAGATCCTACTATGTCTAAGCCAATGCTTTGGCCTTCGTTTCTATAGTGATATTCTGATGACTAAAGCAGTCTGTTCTTAAAACTCCTGAAAGTTAAATTAAATCAAGGTTCAAATAATGAAACCTGATAAAAAAAAAGTCAAGGCTTAATATCCTTACATATAGGTAGTAAATGGTCCATACCTTGAGATGTGAGTTAAATTTGGGGCTCTTGGGATACTGCTTAGTGTATTAGTTTTCAGAAAGCTTCAGAAATCAAGACAGAATGGAAATGTGTCAGATTTAAGTGTTTAGGAAAGTAAAATTCCAATTTTTCAAAAACTATATATTATTCTGCAAATAAAAGAACCCGTGGTTTACTAGTTTATGTAAACTAAATATAAAATAAAAGATTGAGAATACAAATTATGACCCCTTCATGCCAGAAAATGATCTGCTGTGCCCTCTGTAGATAAATAGCATTTTATTTCAATGAAGAAATATTTGTGGAAATATTAAATTAAGGCCTTGTGATAAATATTTTATAGGACAATAGTGAATTAAAATTAGAAAAGATCTTTGAGATCACTTTGTCTTATCCCCTTATTTTAAAAATACAGAAACAGAGGCCTAAAGACACTAATTGACAAGTCTGAAATTACATACTACTTAGTGGACAAAAGTTTACTAAAATGAAGTCTCCCAATTCACAGTCCCACGTCTCTTAAAAATACTATTTTCTGTATAGACTCATGGCACCTGGCATGACCTAGACCAGTGATGGCGAACTTATGACACAGTGTCAGAGGTATATATATATATATATATATATAGAGAGAGAGAGAGAGAGAGAGAGAGATCACAGCCAGAGAAGTCAGAAATCCAAGCACAAGAAGGATTTGATTCGGTGCTGTTTGCTTGAAGGTGGAAGGGGCCATGTGGCAAGGAATGTGGGCAGCCTCTAACAGTGATGGCGAGCCTATGACACGCGTGTCAGAGGTGACACGTGAACTCATTTTTTTGGTTGATTTTTCTTTGTTAAATGGCATTTAAATATATAAAATAAATATCAAAAATATAAATTTTTGTTTTACTATGGTTGCAAATATCAAAAAATTTCTATATGTGACATGGCACCAGAGTTAAGTTAGGGTTTTTCAAAATGCTGACACGCCGAGCTCAAAAGGTTCACCATCACTGACCTAGACCTTCATGTAGGCAATTTATGGAACCATCAACTGCCATTAGGGACTTGCTGTATGCCACTTCCCTCTTGGCTTATGGAAAAGGGACGCATGTAGAACCAAACAGTTGCTTCTTTTTCAGTTGGCATGTTGCTTTTTCCCTCCTCACAGAATTACATATATGTTTTTTCTTCCAGTAATTCAGGAATCTCCAGGGGAAGGAGTCAGATGGTCGGTGATCAGCTTGACAGACATTTCTTACAAGGATGCGGGGGATTACAAGTGTAAGGCCAAAAATTTGGCTGGGATGTCAGAAGCCCTGGTTACTGTGACAGTGGTTGGTGTTGTCACGACCACCATAGCACCAGACAGTTCTGAAAGAAGGAATGGAGATCACCCTGGGCGAGAAGTCCAGCCAGGACCTAGAAGATCTATATCCATACCTGGTTCATCGCCATCTCCCTGGCCTTCTTCCTCCTCTCCTTTCTCTCCCTCTTCTTCCACTTTTCTTTCTACTTCTACTTCATTTCCTCCTTCTGCTGCTTCCTTCTCCTTATACCCTTTCTTCTCCTCTGTTGTTTCTCCCACCACAACTCCAAGCACTAAAATTTCAACAAGCACCACCATGGCCAGCCGACAGTCACTCCAGCTCCATCCAGATGGGGAAAGAAATTTAAAGGTGGAGATGGGTGGAAGTAAGCGTCCCCCAGCTAGTGCAAGTAGAAAAGAAGAGCTGGCATTATTGGATCGAACCACAATAGAAAATCTCAGGGCAGTCAGCGAGACCAAAGAGAGAGTGACCTTGATGTGGGACACCATCAACACCACGCATAACTCTGAGGTGACCGTGTTGTATTCCAAGCATGGGGAAAAGGACCTGCTGCTGCTGAATGCAGACTTCAGCAAGAACCAAGTAACCATAGATGGCCTGGAGCCTGGTAGGCAATACATAGCATGTGTCTGTCCAAAAGGAGTGCCTCCCCAGAAAGACCAATGTATCACCTTTTCTACTGACAGTGTTGGAGAAGGTCATTCTCAAGAGCCCTTCCTTATTGCGGTGAGCGGCGCTGCCTGTGTTATTGTCTTGCCATTGATTTTTTTCCTGTTGTATAAAGTTTGCAAACTGCAATGTAAGTCAGAGTCCTTCTGGGAAGGAGATTTGGAGAAAGAGACTTATATCCAATTTGAAACCCTATCCCCAAGGTCTCAAAGTATAGGGGAACTTTGGACACGAAGGCACAGAGATGATCCCGAAAAATTGCTGCTTTGTTCTGGGTCAAGTGTGGAATCTCAGATGACTTTTAAAAGTGAAGAGATCTAGACCAGATTATTATCGCTAAGATTATATAGCTCAGACACACAAGAATGCACAAAATATCTTCCAAAAAAAAAATGAAGAATTTGAGGGTGTATTTGCCTCTTTGTTTGGATGACTTTTAGACAGACTTTCACATCTTCCATAAAAATCACAAATGGAGTGATTTTGTGTTTTAAAAAACTACCATCAGACCTCTGAACTGAACAAGCTTTTTATTCTTTTTGTTTTTTAAATCAAATCTTTATTGTTGAAAGTATTACTTATGTTCCCCTTTTCCCCCCATTGACACCTTCTAGCCTGCACCCCCCCACCCCCCACCCCAGACCTTCACCACCCTTTTGTCTGTGTCCATGAGTTATGTATATATGCTTACAATGAACAGACAATCTTGATTTTTTTGTATGGAAGGTGTACAAGGAAATTATCTTTGGAACAATGCTTATTAACACATTGCAGACGGATCACGAGAATTCTTGAATTCTTGTGTTTTCTGTTCTAAGGCTTGTGGTCAATCATACTTTAAAAAGATATTATCTTGTAAGAACATGTAATAAATAACTTCAAAATGCAATGGGTATTTAATTTTAAAGAGTGCCTTTAACATTTATGTGAAACGTTTTTTGTACTTGTTCAATAGAAACTTATGGGACCACTGGGTAAAGCAAGCAATAAAATTACTAGTCCGTAATGTGTTAAGTTAGACATATGTTTTAGGGCAGTGGTCGGCAAACTGCGGCTCGGCAAACCGCGGCTCATGAGCCACATGCGGCTCTTTGGCCCCTTGAGTGTGGCTCTTCCACAAAATACCGGCTCTTCCACAATACCAACTTCTGCACATGGGCCACGAAGTTTCAATCGCACTGTACGTGCACGCCCGCACGTGGTATTTTGTGGAAGAGGGACACTCAAGGGGCCAAAGAGCCGCATGTGGCTCGTGAGCCGCGGTTTGCCGACCACGGTGTTAGGGTAATGTTTTAGTTGTTAAAAATAATTTCATGGAAAAATAGTTGTAAAAAACTAAAGTCTGAATTTTTAAAAGATAGATTTGGGGGCAGTGAGTAAAGATTAGTATAGCCAGCCAGTGGCTCTTGCTGTGGACATTTGATGCCATTGCCTAGAGGGCCAGAGTGGAATAGTATAGAATTTTGCATTGACTAAGGCTAAGTTCAACCCAATGGAGAGGGAGGGCTCCAGCTCTTGGTACCATTGTGCATTACTACATTGTATGGTTGCATCCATATCCCAAGTGAAACTATTTCCCTTGTCCTTAGAAATACTGGTATTAGCAAATACATGTTTACAAAGAGGACATGATAACTAGTAAGGCCATTTAAAAAAATAGTTACTGCTGCATTCTTATACATTTGCTAGCAGACTGTGTGGGTCTTTTTAAGAGCTCATTTTAAAACAACTTCTTTAATATTTTGATATTTACTCTTTTTTTTTCCCTCCCTCTCCTCTTCTCTCCCTGCTCTTCCTTCTTTTCGTCCCTTCTGCTTTGTCAGAAGACATTCAGGTAGTCAAAGGACTGTATCTAAGCTGTTTTAATTATGCTATGTTATATTTTTACCTCTTTGATAAAAGAAAAACTTTGAAAGTCTTTTTTTTTAGAACCAATAAAAGATGTATTAAGATTATGAAAGAGCAGTTTCAGTGGATTTATTTGGTCAAACTTTCTAGGTTAAAAACATAAGGGAAATTGAATTGGAATGGGTTACATGACTAGAAAGAAAAAGGGCTTTAAAAATAAAATTTAGTTTTTTTTTAAAGTGTTCATCACCTTTACTAAAAGTTATATTCCTTTTGCATCGAAGGTTTTGGAGTATAAATCATAAAAAATATACACATTTGAATGGCGTCAAGGTTATACTGATGATATCATGGCTCTTATGTTCTTACTAGATGCCCGGTGCATGAATTTGTGCACGGGTGGGGTCCGGCAGGCCCCGCACCCTGGTCGAACGCCCAGTCGAACTCCCAGTTGAGGGGACCATTTGCATGTTAGCCTTTTATTATCCTACTAGAGGCCCGGTGCACAAAAATTTGTGCACTCGGGGGTCCCTCAGCCCAGCCTGTGCCCTCTCGCAGTCTGGGACCCCTGGGGGATAGTCCACCTGCTGGCTTAGGCCTGCTCCCCGGGGGATTGTGCCTAAGCTGGCAGTGATACATCCCTTGGGGGATGTCCACTTGCCAGCGGGCTGAAGCTGCAGTTGAACATCCATAGAGCTGCTGAGGAGGCAGGAGAGGCTCCCACCATTGCCGCTGTGA